AGGCAGGCCCTGAACACGCTGCTGTTCGAGCAGCAGGTGAGGCCGTTCGCGGGGCCACTCCGGGCCGCGGCCCCCGGGCAGCCGGTGTCCTGGGGGCCTCGGGGACGTCTCAGCCGGGTCTGCGTTCGTGACCGCCGCGGGAGCCTGCGTGCGCCGCGGCCAGGGCAGACCCTGGCAGGCAGGGCTGCAGCGTCTGTCTTTGCTGTTTTGTAGGATCAGCTCGTACTAAACATCGAAGCGCTGCGAGCCGAGCTTGACCAAGCCAGACTCAGAGGGGCCTCTCTTCACCATGGGTACGCCTCAGCCGCAGCGGGCGTGGCGCCAGGCGCTCGGCCTGTCCCCGCCCGCCGGGCAGGTCGGCGGGCGCGGCTCCGAGACTAGTGTCAGGCGAGAGGGCGGAGCAGGACTTTGGTCTGTGGAGGGCGGCAGGCTCACACCCAGGGCGTGGGAGGCGGGGGGCACTGGTGAATGTTGGGGTGTGCTAACCGGGGCCCCCCAGGTGCGAACCCTTGAGTGGCTCTCAGTAGTCCCTGCCCATCTCATCTCAGTAGTCCCTGCCCATCTCAGGATTTATTTTATTACAACACAGGAGCCGAAGTACAGGCCAGAGGTTGGGGGTGGGGAGATGAGAGGATCCCCAGAGCCGAGTGGGGGGCAGGACAGGCGGATCCACTGAAACACACGGCGGAGGGGGCAGCGGGGAGACAGGAGGGGTCTGCTGCGCCCTTTGGTCCCTCCCTGGCCGGGGGTCGAACTCAGGCTGCGGGGGCTGCGGCAGCTTCACGGCGCTGAGACTTGACCCCTGTGCCCAGGGAGGCCCCCCATCTCAGGACTGTAAGAGCCTCTGGGGTGCGTGACACTGCCCCTTGGAGTCGGCCGTGGAGTGACTCGCCTGGCCGCGGACGACCAGCCCGAGCGTCCCGGTCTCGCTGCCTCGTGTGGCAGAGGCGGCGATTCCCGCGCGGGCACGGCGCGTGCCAGTGACGCTCAGCAGAGCGGGTGCGTGTGCACAGCGACAGGCCCGGGACGGCCTGGGGCCTGCCGTTCCCTCTGCGTCCGCCTGCTCCGGGCACCTGGGCCAGGCGCCGGCTCTTCCGAGGCGCCCCGGAAACAGGCCGAGCCAGGGCCTCTGAGGTGGAAGGTCAGGGAGAGCCTGTGGTGGCCGAGGGCCGCGCGGACGAGGAGCAGGCCCGGGCACCTGGCCGCCTGGTCGCGCCGCGTGGGAAGGGCTGGTGGTGTCGCCAGAGTGCTGAGGCAGACCCATCGCCCCGGCAGCGCCTGGGGTCCGGTCCGGAGTGCAGCGGGGCATGGAAGGGAGGACACAGCACTGTCCGCGCTGGTGCTCAGAGGCTGCGCCCGGCCAGCGTGACCGCCCCGAGGCCACGGGCGCCAGGGCCTGTTCCCAGGAGACAGCTGGAGCCTTCACCCCTGCGCCCGCAGTCTGCGTCGGCTGTAGCGCGGAGAAGGCGCGCGCACCACAGGCCCAGAGTGGGGCAGGGAGCGGCTGCCGGCGGCCCGGCACGTCGCGGCTCCACGGGGACGTCGCGCGCCCGTCTCTGGCTCAGCCGGGAGTGGCTGAGGCAGAAGAGCGGGAAGGAAGAGGGCGGGCCTCCCTGAAGCCCCCAGCCTGGAGCAGAGCCCTGGCCTGGGCGGGCGGGCGGGGAGCCGGGGCCCCGGCTG